TGAGCTTAATTTCTCTACAGGTGGCAACTTTTTTCTAAAAAGTAAAACCTTTTTGAACATCCACACCCTAAGCCCTTTAATTTGGCACCTCACTTTTGAAAATCGAACGGACGGTGCGGATCTGAGGGCATTGATTAGTAAATAACTTGAGTTTAATTATTTAACAGGTGGCAACATCTTTCGAAAAAATAAAACCGGTTTGCACATCTAGCCAAGCGCTTTAATTTGGCACCCCATTTTTGAAAATCGAGCTAACGATGCAGATCTTTTATGCTGCACAAAAAATTAGTTCGCGTATTATATATATAGATTATAGACTAACAGGCTAACCTAATATTCACGCACGCCGCCAATTTATTGTCAAAAATTTCTCATGCACATGCAACTTGTATGAGATCAACCGAAATTGAACGGCGTGCGTATGAAGCTAACTCAATTTCCAATTTTTGTTCTGCGTGACATTTTGATTTGACGTTGCGCTCAATGAAATCAAATGCAAACGCATGCAAGTCAATTTCGGGTGACGCAAAAAAAACAAATTCGACGGCATGCGTACCAAAACGTAAGCCGCGAATATTAGGTTAGCCTGATAGATACCTATTTTAATTACCCCATTGTCTTAATTCAAATTGAATTTGATTGTTTAAATAGGTGGCAACCCTCCTACACGCAGTTAAGAAATAAAGTAAATTCAAACTAATGCGATTGGTACCCAATTAGTAAATATTGATTTAACTATTTAAATAATTTGAACTTAATTTTTAAACAGGTGGCAGCCCTCTTCAAACACTTTAAAAATATTCTAAACGTTCCAACTAAAGATCTCTTAAGATTCATTCGCTTGACGTCCATATTTTTATACTTCACATAAATATACATGTTTCTATTACCTAATTCCCCTAATTCAAATTGAATTTGATTTTTTTAACAGGTGGCAACCCTCATCAAGTTAAGTTAAGAAATAAATATTTTCAAAACAATTTCCATTTATGCCCATTTTGTAATAATTGGTTTAGCTTTTAAAATAATTTGATCTTAATTTTTTAAAAGGTGGCAACTTTTTTCGAAAAAGCAAAACCTTTTTGAATATCCACACCCTAAGCCCTTTCATTTGGTAGCCCACTTTTGAAAATCAAACGGACGGTGCGGATCTGAGGGCATTTATTAGTAAATAACTTGAGTTTAATTATTTAACAGGTGGCAACTCTTTTCGAAAAAATAAAACCTTATTGCACATCTGCAGGCTAAGGGCTTTAATTTGACACCCCAATTTTGAAAATCGAGCGAACGGTGCAGATGTTTTAGGCTGCACAAAAAATGCCTTCGCGTATTATATATAATAGATAGATTACACATATGGCTTACACCAAACCATCTGCTTTTAGTAAGCTCAAACGGCATGAAGCCGCTTGTTATCTACGACGATGATGCGGTTGTGCTGAAGTCCAGTTGGCTTCGATCTCAACAGTTTGCAGACAAATTTTGGCGCAAGTGGGTGGCTGAATATTTACCAACTTTAACTTGTAGAACAAAATGGCACAAGGAAGCTAAGCCTCTTCGCGAAGGCGATTTGGTGATTATAGTAGACTCTACACTTCATCGAAATGTGTGGCCTAGGGGTAAAGTGGTTGACGGTTTTAACTTCGCGTGGATTGTTGGAGAGGCCAGCGGTCAAGATCGCAGTATTAGACGTGGCTGCAGTAAAGGAGTAAGCCTTCGTTTAACACCTCGTTGTACTGTGGGAGGGTGTTACCGCCACTGTACTCTGACTCGCTGAAATGCTTATAACTCGCTATAATAAACTTGTAATTGTTAAGCCGAACTCTTTTTGTATGGTCTATTACAATTGTAAGAAAGCGATATATATTTTGTACTGACAATGTCATTAGAGTCATAAAACCATGTGGTGGTTCTATAGAAATCATTGTTCGAAGAGAATTTTAAGCGACAAGTCTCGTAGTTTCAAGATACAAGCTTAACCTAAACTGGAATAAGTTAAATACTTTACGCTTGGATTAAGACTTAAATGAATTTTATTACGTACGGCTATAAGCGACGTGATCATTAAATACTTGGATAATCACACAAAAACTAAGCTGATTTACTTATTGCTCGTAATCAAAATCAGAATTAATCCAGGGCGTTTTAAGGAGATTACAGACAATTTTGAAAGTTTTCTCCCTTTAATCAATTAAAGCGCTGATTAAGAAAGAATCTTTTCAATTGTAACTGGTGTTTAATGCAAAAAGCGGAACAAATTAGTTTCGTTCCCTAACTCGCAAGAAGTTGCTAGAATTTACAGGATTTTGCCAGAAGGCGTTCCCGTACTCGGTTCTCTGGCAAAGTAAAGGAAAAATGGGTGAGTAAAATCGGTCCTCTCTTTGTCAGAAGTTGCAAGATTTTAACCGAACAATTTTTGCTGGTAAAATCAGGTAAAGTGTCAAACCGTCAGCTGTTCAAATGATTTCAAATTTGAATAAGCAAAAACAAAAGTGCATCTGCATTGTCACCTTATTAAATACATATATCCTAGCGAAGAAATATCAAGTTTTGTAAGTATTTTTGTTAATTTGCTGGTGTATTTGGGCAATATTTAGTAATCGCCAAATGATAAAAAAACTGCTATGTAAACAAAAAATTACATCCACGGTTCTTGTCTTCAATGTTAAAGTCAACAAAAATCGAATTCGCTTACGCAATGCAAATAATTTGTAACAATGGTAGTTTTAAAAATTGCCAGTAGGTATTCAACCATAAAACCACAAAAAAAAGTTTATTCAAAATTGTGGGTTTTAATAAAAACCGAAGCTAATTTATGAATGTTGTAAATGTTTTAAAGTTCTTTTGGACCTTTAGTTAGTAATCTACCGACCATTGAATTTCGATAGAATATTATATGTACATATATGTATATTAACGTAATATGAATGTTACTTTTTTACTACTGAAATATAGGTTGTCATTTCTTTGGGAATTTTGTGGCATAAATTTTTAATATGTGGGTAATTGAGGGATTTTTTCCCGATTTTCGTGGGTAATTTAACAGAGAATGTCTGGCAAACGAGATTACTAAGAAAAATAGCTGTGACAATTTGTATTTTTTCCAATTTAAATTTTATTTTTTATTTTTGTGTATTTCACATGGCACGCTTTGATTTAGAAGAAAAAAAAATCACAATAGTTTTTGACACTTTCGATACCAGAAGAAACAATAAAATAAACGCAAGTGTTGTTTTTGCTTTAATGCTACTATCAGTTTGATATGCCTTGAATATAACTAATATGAAAATTGACACGAGAGAAAAAATCTTGTTTCACTTAATTGAAACGTTTGCATACATATACAACGCACTTGATGGTACAATTGTCACAAACGAAATAAATAATATAAAAAAAACTTTTTAATATACAACGCTTTTATAAATGGACTAAAAAGTAGAAAATAATACTTCTCAGTCCCATAGAATTTGTTTTGATAACTTTTGATTTTGAAATTTTAGCAAAAGTCATTATAAACAATCTATGAAATTGAAAATGAAAAACGTGGAGCGCATGCAATACAAAGCATTCGATTTAATTGACAATAGTCAAACTA